TTCACAGTAGACGGTAGAGTCTCGAGCTGATGAAATGAAAGTTAATAATAATAACGCCCGGCCTGAAATGCTAAGCAAAGAACGGCGGTGTTGGTTTTTCGCCCACTTTTGGGATAGATAATAATCACGTATATGTAACCCCATACACAAACAATTATTATTTAAAATTATGAAAATTAATGACCCAAAGGCAATGTGCCTATCGAGGGGTTCATTTGATTGAAAGAACAGTAGATGTATGTACAAAGACAAATAGGGATTGATGAGGAGAGAAATGGGGAAAATCAACTGCAAGGTGGCGGAATTCCTATCGCGGCCAAGATCCTAGAGAAGGTTGTCCACAAGCAAGTCACTTCGTATTTCACCCAGAATCCAGACCTGTCAGCCATACCAGCTGAACAATTTGCGTACCGCTCACACCATAGCTGTGAGGATGCCCTGACACTTTGCATAGACAGATGGAACAGAGCACTTGACAACGGTGACCAATGCGGAGTAGTCTTTGCGGATATGAGCAAGGCGTTTGACCGTGTGCAGCACACAGGTCTGCTGGGAGAGCTAGCCACCACTGGCTTATAGGCGGCACTGTCCTCAAGTGGTTCTCAGACTATCTCACGAACCGCAGCCAGCAGGGTACTGTCAATGGTGAGAAGGGTGACACCAAACCCTGTACAAGAGGGGTCCCCCAGGGGTCTGTTCTTGGGCCTTTGCTTTTCTGCGTCTACATTCGCCGGGTACCCGATATATTTCACCAGAGTGTCGTGCAGCTGTACGCTGATGATATTGCGTTCTACGTATTCGGCTCTGATGTGGCTACAATTATGCTACGCTTGCAGGATAGTATGCAGTTGCTAGAGCAATACCTTGATGAGAAAGGCCTTCTGCTCAACCCCACTAAAACACAGTTCATGTTGATACGGCGTCCTGCCCTGCCTGCACTGAGCCCAGCCCTGTACCTGACCTGTAAAGGTATTGTCATTTCCCCTGTCTCTACTGTGAAATACCTCGGTATACTAATCGATGAGCATCTAACGTTCCGCCCACAAGTAGAAAAGGTGTGTTCAGTGGTCTTCGCTAAACTAGCCTGTTTTGCTCATGGCCGTCGCAATTTATCAGCTACAGCTCGGAGAACTTTCTTCTTGTCAATTATACAGTCTACTCTAGAATATGCAAGTAATGCGTATGTGCACTGTTTGAAAACTACCCTATAATTATAACAGGCTTGTAACGGTCAGCCATATTGCGATGAAGAAGGCATTTGGTTTAGATAGAATGACCCCAACTGCATTAGTTTTACAACGGTGTCATCTGTATTCGTTTGAGCAACGAGTTAATTTGAAACTATACGTTTTGGTCTATCGCTGCTTGTCATCAATTACTAGCCCCCTCCTTCAGTCACTGTTTCTCCTGCGTTCAGTTGGCCCGCACACAAATGCTCGTACTCGTGGCCAGGATACAGCTGCCTTAGTATTACCTACTGTACATATTGGGTATGGACTGCGCTCAGTTTCTTTTCTGGCGGCAGGTCGGTGGAACACTCTTCCTCCAAACTGTCGTCAGGCACAATCTGCTGGTACTTTTGCTCACCTCACAAAGATTCACCTAGGGTTCCCTGTAACAAGGCCATGCCTGTTGGGACTCCCCTAGTCAAATAATAAATACTACTAATTCCCTTGATTGCATAAGCATAGTCAGCTGTAAATTTCCTGAGGGCAGCTTTGAACTTATAGAGCGAGGCTTCCGACGTTAGACTGGGGGGTAAACAGTTCCATAGAATAGCAGTTCGGAACATGAAGAGAGACTTGGACAGTCGAAACTCTCCCCCCCCCCCCCCCCCACACACACAATGGTTGCCTCTTTGCTCTGTCATACCACAACCATTCAATGCGGTGAACCCCTCGATAGGCGATTTGCCTATGGGTCATCCTAATAAACGTTCTTCGACGAGCGACCATCTACTGGTCATGTACATGTATTTAATTATTGTTGACAAGGTAGATCTACACACTGTCAAATTGGTGTTTCAATCGTCCGCCAGTGAGAAATACATGTACGTTGCTACGACAACAGCGCAACAAAATACGGTCATGTGGAGCGAAACTTATATTAATTTTTACAAAACTTCTGTGCGTCATCCAGACCAAAGGAAAACTAACGAATAATCGTTAGCGAAAATTAAAAGTCTCTAACTACCAGGCTTACATGTCATGTATGTGGTGACCAGGGTCAGGGAGTCGTATATACCGGTACATGTATGACTCCCTGGTGGTGACAAACACAGTGAACACCTGGCTTGCATTCAAAACTGACTTCTTATCTATAATGTATATCATTACACAAGCATGCACATGTACATTGTACAGTACAGCTCAATGAAATCCGGTCGCGTCACTCAAGTACGCACCGGGCGTTCCGCAGCCCTAGACCTGCAAACACTGGGCTGCGGAATGATGCTGGGCGCAAACTCGAGTGACACGACTGGATTTCATCGAGCAGGACTGTACTTGCCTGTGTAATGATAATACAGTGGAACCTGTCTAAGACGACCGCTCATGGGACCTTCAAAACGTGGTCTCTGTTACAAGGTGGTCTCCTTATACAGGGTCAATTGACTGGAAATAGCATCCCTTGGTCCTGGTTTCAGTGGTCTTCTCGGACAGGTGGTCGCCTTATCCGAGTGGTCGCCTTGACAGGTTTTTCTGTACTTAATGGAACGGTCTGTTTTGCGCAGTACATGCAAGTAATCTTCAGCAGCTGTGTACCGTAATGTGTGTGACCTACATACAATTGTAGTCATTGTACACCGGTATCTCTACAGGTATTCTGCCACATCAAGACTAGAGAACAATCATAAGCCCAAGAGTATGCAGGCTGTGCACATGGGCCATAGGGCCGGTCGGGCGCAGCATGCTGCCCGTAGCCACGAGCTGCGGGCCATTGTGTCGTTATTGATGTGTTACACGATTGTCTGCTTCCAAATTTAAAAAAAAGCTGAATACATTCATAGGCTGGACTGTAAGTATGACTACAGTAGCATCACCCTGAGCACAGGGCCTAGCGACTGACTACAGCAGCATCACCCTGAGCACAGGGCCTAGCGACTGACTACAGCAGCATCACCCTGAGCACAGGGCCTAGCGACTGACTACAGTAGCATCACCCTGAGCACAGGGCCTAGCGACTGACTACAGCAGCATCACCCTGAGCACAGGGCCTAGCGACTGACTACAGTAGCATCACCCTGAGCACAGGGCCTAGCGACTGACTACAGCAGCATCACCCTGAGCACAGGGCCTAGCGACTGACTACAGCAGCATCACCCTGAGCACAGGGCCTAGCGACTGACTACAGCAGCATCACCCTGAGCACAGGGCCTAGCGACTGACTACAGTAGCATCACCCTGAGCACAGGGCCTAGCGACTGACTACAGCAGCATCACCCTGAGCACAGGGCCTAGCGACTGACTACAGTAGCATCACCCTGAGCACAGGGCCTAGCGACTGACTACAGCAGCATCACCCTGAGCACAGGGCCTAGCGACTGACTACAGCAGCATCACCCTGAGCACAGGGCCTAGCGACTGACTACAGCAGCATCACCCTGAGCACAGGGCCTAGCGACTGACTACAGCAGCATCACCCTGACCACAGGGCCTAGCGACTGACTACAGCAGCATCACCCAGAGCACAGGGCCTAGCGACTTACTACAGCAGCATCACCCTGAGCACAGGGCCTAGCGACTGGCTACAGTAGCATCACCCTGAGCACAGGGCCTAGGGACTGACTACAGCAGCATCACCCTGAGCACAGGGCCTAGGGACTGACTACAGCAGCATCACCCTGAGCACAGGGCCTAGGGACTGACGACAGCAGCATCACCCTGAGCACAGGGCCTAGCAACTGACTACTTAGTCAGCAACAGATGAGATAGTCACTAAGTACATAGTATGTACATGTTCAGCTAGAGAGTCCACTTGCGTGTTTGAACCACAGCTACATGTATGTAGGCACAGGTACACATGCTAGGGTTGGTACCCTGTATTAGCCGGACAAACGGTAAACCTACATCAAGCTATCAGTGTCTGTTGCCATGGCTACATGTGGTTGTTGTACACATGAACAGTTCCGAACTTCACTGAAATTTCATTGACAGAGAGCGAG